AAGATTCAGTCATATGTAATTTGTATCTCACAATCACAACTCCTTGTGATCAACAAATTACCAAGACTTGAATTTACGGATTCTATTATTTAATTTATTAGAATATTAATTCAATTAAATAATAGATATTGCCATATATATGCATTGATTATATATATTCAAAGTGTTTATACCCAAAATTGATTGGACTTAGGGCATAACACTTACATCGTGATCCTCATAAAATATTATTTATTTATTCATAATTTATTTTTATCTATAAATAATTTTAACATATTATTATAAACAATTCTAAAAAATGCAGGTGTTTTCCAATACGCCACCCCACCTCCTCCTTTACACTGCCATAGCCGCCACCATGATTTATGGAACTAATTCTCTCTCCTCCCATTTTTTCCGCTTTTAAGATCTTTCGGATTCAACTAGGGCTGCACAAAAAAATTACAAAATCGCAAATTAAACCGAACTTGTTGGTTTGCAACTGTTGGTTCGAGTTCACTTGGACTCCTAGGTTTTCCCCTCAAATCGAACCAAACCATTTAAATGGTTCGGTTAGGTTTCGATTTTCAAAAATCACACAAAATCGAACCAAAACCATTTTTTCATTGTTTAATTAAAATTAATTTTATTAGATTATAAATTCTACAGTTTTCACTTTACAGAAAAAACCAATTTAGAAATACAAATTACAACCAGCCCATTTAAATAATAGTATAAAATAAATTAGGTTCATCATTATTGACCCATGATTTTACAAGTCCACTACACATGTCCTGATCCGATATTTAAACTAAAATTAAAATTATCCCCAAATCATATGAAATGAACAAAATATGCATATATTTTCAACAATCCAAATCATAATTCAACTAAGGCAGAAAATCACACTCAGAGCTTTAGAAACCGTAGTTGAAACCCTCATTTCTCAAACATTTGACACCTACCCTCCACCATTGGACAAAAATGCAATTTCCAATCGTCAGCTTCAATCATTTTTTGCCTGTTAATCTACTAATTTTTGCCCGAGTCTCCTCTTTCTCTCTTCTCTCTCAATCGGTCTCAGATTCTTATTCAAGTCATTTTCTTCATTATTTTTTCCTTTTTTCTCCATTAAGTGATCATTATTTCTTCCTCTGTTCATCAAGTTTTCATTATTTGTATTTTCTTCATTAAGTGTTCATTAATTTTTTCTTCATTAAATGTTTATTATTTTCTTTACTGTTGTTTTGATTCATTACTTTTTTGTCTATATTGGTTCAAACATTTGTTGTTTTTGAACTTATTACACACTTATGAGTTGTGATTTGGATAGAAAAATAAGTGTTTGTGTGCCAAGGTGATTAATGAAATTGGTTTTAGCTTGGAAAGAACGAAGAACATAACGTATTGACATGTGGAAATGTTAAAATTTCCTAACTAGTATAACTAACTTCTGCTTTTTAAAAGTAGTCAGATAATAAAATTCATTAATTCTCAATAAACCTGAACTGTATCAATCTCTGTACATCTAAATATATCATGTTCAATCCATATTTTTCATCTCACTTGTAAAACGAAATGAGTTTTAACTAAACTATAACAGTTGAATGTAACTCAGCATCTACCATCCACCTTGTGACAATAAGAAAAGCAAATAGGAAAAAGTAAATAAAAAGGAAAAAAAATTTATTCGTTCTATTAATTTCTTTAATAATCGAACTTTGAAAATAATTTATTCACGTGTTTCACGGGAAATCTTGCACGTCTGTTTAGGAAGCCAACCACTAAAGCTGTATGCCAATAAATTTGAGTGTGGGGGAAGGAAGTTATCGATCGTTGCTAGATGTTAGCACGCTACTATTCTTTTTTGTCTTTTTGTTTCTATTTCGAATTTTCAGACAAATATGAATATAATTTAACATTATTAGTTTTTTTTTTTTTTTATGTTAACTTGTTTTAAATATATTACTATAATATGGATAGGTAAATCACAGTTTAAAATCGAACCAAATCTCAAATAATGATATGATTTGAAAAATAAAATAGTTTGATTTGGTTTTAAAAAATTACAAACTGCATAAAATAGTTTGAGTTGAAAATATGACATAAATTGCCAAAATCAAACCACATTCACCCTCATCTAACCAATTGTCCAATGTGAAATTTTCCCCTCTTTGGTTGCCTTAAATTTAATTTAATTTTAATCTTTTTTCTTACTCATTTTCAACCGAGTCCTTCTACACATGCATGAAACTGATTGCTAGAATCATTATAGGACTCACACATTGGGAGTGAGTGGGTTATTTTTCTTTCATTTTTAATTTTTGGTGGGTCCCACACACGGTGAGATGCCTGTAAAATTTCTGTGAACTGAACGTGGAGATTTATCAGTAAAATATTTTACAATCATGATAGGGTGCCAGAATTTTTTTGACACCCTAGTTGACATACACACACAATAGGGGTGGGTGGGGGGTATGTTTTTGCATTTTTTATTCATGTGGGGTAGGCACGGGTCCCACTCGAATGTGAGAGTAGGTCAATCGGGTGGGCAAATTTCATCTGGCAAAGGAGCTTAATTCAATATTTTATACACAGTAAAAATTTA